GATAAAAATAAAGGCACTTGAATAAGCTTGCTTCCTTCCTTCCCTCCTTTGTTCCCTCCCTCCTGCCCTCCCTCCTCTCTCCTTCTCTTCTCTCTTCCCTCCCTTCTGTTCCTTCTTTTGTACGAGAGTTTGAACTCAGGGCCTTGTGGTTGCTAAGTAGAAGCTCTGCCATCTGAACTTATCCCAGTCCTTTCTCTCTTCCTTTCTAGTGTTGTTTTTTTTAACAGCGTCTTGATTTTCCCAGAACCTGAATTAGGCTGTAATCTTCCTACCTATGTATTCACATACCCTGTATTAGATTACAGATCTACAAATGTACACCATTCGTGGCTTTCTTTCCTTCCTTCCTTCCTTCCTTCCTTTCTTTTTTTCTTTCTTTCTTTCTTTTCTCTCTTCCTTTCTTCCTTCCTTCTTTTCTTCCTACCTTCCTTTTCTTTCTTTCTTTCTTTCTTTCTTTTCTTTCTTTTCTTTCTTTCTTTTTTGAGGTGGATTCTCACTAACTTCTTGGCCAAGTTTGCTTCAAACCACCATCATCCTAATGCCTCACAAGCTCTTCATTTATACAGCAGGGATGATACTAGCACCTGTGTAGATCAGTTTCAAGGAAAAAATACACCTAATGGCTAGGATAGTGCCTAGAAAGTCAAAACTGCTGGGCATGGTACAGTTGAGATGTTCTAATCATCTTTCCACTGAGGTGCAGGGCATTGAGGAGTATTGAGGAGCAGTCTTGTGAATGGCAGCCCTCTTATGTATAGGTAACTCTACTTGCCGGCCTTTTACAGCCAGCTCGCTGCAAGATCTGCACACACAGCACCCAAAAAGAGCAGAGGTAGGAGATAGAAACAAAACCTGAAGACTGCTGAGGCCTGGCCAAGGCTCCATTCCCTCTGCATCTCCCTCTGTGGAATGGGCCCAGCAGCCATTGACTTACTCGCTGAGAGGAGAGGTTGTTTTGCCATCAAGAAGTGGGTCAAGCTTTTAGGACCCCCTTGAAGTAGAACAAGAGTTGTATGTGAGCTAGGGCCACCTCAGCCCTTGTACATTGCTGAGCAAGTTAGCCGTGACCCCTTCCTACCATTTGGTAAATACAGAGCTGAAAGTTCCATATGGCGTTTGTCTCTCCTCTTTGCTAACATGGAGGACTGAACTCTGCTGAGGATTTCCTGCTAGTGTTGGATCTGTCCCATTCCCCAGTGAGTAATAATTCATGTCCCTCAAGTGCACGGATATGCTGAATCCATGATGCTGGTGGCCTTGGCAGACCCGTACTCCCTCAGTCTGGGTGGGGACCTACGAACATTAACCTTGACTAACAAGCACCAAATTTCTATCCCCCTAACAGAGCCAGAAGTGAGTAGAGATGTTCGTGGAAAATCTATTCATCCATCAGCTATGTGTTAAAGCTCCTGCATGCTGGGCCCCATACTGAGCTCTGGGCACCCAGAAATGCAGAGGACACTGGGCAGCTCTTGAGGAGCACTCAGACTGGCTCTGCAGCCAGTTCTAGAGCAGCAGTTGGGAGCACAGGGGAGCAGTATGCAGTCTGATTTAGGGACTTGAGGAAGTTCTTGCGGTGAATTTGAATGAAATCCTTGGAAGACAATGGGCTGGATGGGTTTGGAGGAAGGGGAAAGTTCCTTTGGATTGTATTAGCACAACACTTTGCTTCTGTAGTCTGTTTGAGTCATGCCCAGCATTGAGAGTATCAACTATGGGCTCCATGGGCATCCCTTCTGCCCCTGTTCCTCTGCCCAATCACATGGCTGTCATGGTATTGGGTCTCTGATCAGAAATCTGGATCTCCATGCTAATCATAGCTAGCAGGTTTCAAGGGAATTGCCCTGGCTCCCAGCCAGCAGGCTCTCTCACCAGCCTGGAGTTCTCTCTTGATATAATTAGGCCCATTGGTATTTGCTTTGCCTTTAAATAATCCCTGTGATTGATGTTTCTGAAATCTCAGGCCCAAAATATATGCTGGGGCCTAGGCTGGTGAGAAATGCCAATGGCAATTCAGGTGTAGGTAAAAGGAACAGTTAGGATACCAACAATACTGAATATAAAGTGCACAGCAGTATCTAGCTACAGGAAAGGGGTCTCCTGCCTTGTCCAGGAGTAGTAATTGGTGAGGTCTGGTTGATGGAAGGCTGTGGGTGGTCCCCCTCCTCCTCTTGCTGCCCTGCATCACCTCACATCCTCCAGCCCCTCCAGTACTGGCCTTAGAGTGACACAATTCACAAACAGGAAAAGATGCAGTAACTGCAAAGAAATGCAGTGAATCCAGACTTCACCCCAAAGCAAACCTCACAAGTGTGGGGTTTGGAGCATGCTCAGAAAAGACCGTCATTGTCTGGCTATGTGGATTGAGGAGCTGCTTGGGGTGTGAGATAAAGAGGGGATCTGGGCTTCAGGAGCACTTCTCTCCAGGCACCTCTGTCCAGGGAGGAAGCTGGTGCCCTGCACACCCATCCACCCCTCAATGTCTCTGGGGTGAGTCGTATCTCAGCAATGACTTCATTTCCCTTAATTGGATGTCCACAAACTCTCTGGAAGATTCCAACCAGTAAAATACACTGATTGTGGTGTGGGAGCTCCTGATACCCTTGCTTGGACTCTCCCTCTGGGAGCCCAGCAGCCCAGCTGAGTGATAGCTAGAGGATGGAATATTTGCTCAGGAAGGGGACTGTGTTTTTCTAAGATAAGGCCTGATCCTGAACAGAGGAAAGTTTCCAGATGCCTCTGAAATATAAAGGGATGAGGGGTAGGCACAGGTCCTGCTTGGTTTCTTGCTGGGCAGCCTTGGCTGTTGATACCTTGGTGACCTCCTAACTTGGGAAGGGCTGGAACACTGCTATGGAGCACTGGTTTTAGATGACATCAGAATTGCTCATACAATAATGCTTGAATGGAAGGGCTTTTGCCGAGTGCAACCACCTAGGTCACCATTTATCTCCACTGCTCTCCTAAAGGGCTATATCTTCCCTGGGGAAGGGCCCTGGTCTTGTTTAGCATGCACTGTCTATTGAGAATTGAGCACGGCATTTGTAGAGTCCCATTTATCACCTGTGACCATGCTTGACATCAAAGACCTACTTTGTCTGGCTCCAAGCTGATTGTCCTCTTTCTTCTCCTCTAAAGTATCCTCTCCTTCCACCCTAAACCCTTTCTCTTTGAATGAAGTGTGTCCTCCATTGCAATGTTTCTCCTTTTTTATCCTGAGTAAATCAGAAGCAGTACCACAGGATGAGCTCTGGAATGAGACCATCTGGATTTGAATCCTGGCTCTGTCTCTTTCAATCTATGACTCCATGGGCCAATTGCTGAACCTCAGTTTCTCCATCTGCAAAATAGCTTACTAATAGTTCCTTTCTATGAGCACTGTGCTTTTTGGAAGATTAAGCGCTGAAGTATGTAAAGCAGTTGGAAAACTTTGTAATGTTCATCAAGTGTAGGCTACAATGATGCTGATTATAATGATAACTTTCAAAGATCCTCTTCTATGGAATTGTTTCCAGTCTACTAGGCAGGATTAACTTTCCCCTTGTGGCTTCCAAATAGACTAACCACATGATAGGCTATTATTTCAAAGTCTGAATTTACCCCTGGCCTGAGAGTTTCTGGAAGACAAGAACTAGGTTTCAATAATAAGAATAAAATTTATACTAGTGAGTGCAAAGCACTATGCCATATATAGTTTCCCATACAATTTTATTAAGATTCAACTTACATTCTGTATTATTCACCTACTTCAACTGTGTAATTCAGTTGTTTTACTATATTCACAAAGTTTTGTAATCATCACTATTTCCAGAACATTCCAAAAAGAAGCGTCAAGTCCAGTGGCACTCCCCCCAATTCTTCCACCCCTATTCCTTGCCAACAACTAATTTACTTGTGATTTCTCTGCATTTCCCTATTCTATACATTTTGCATAAATAGAAATGTGCAATATACAGCCATTTGTATTGGGTTTATTCTACTTAACACAATGTTTTCAAGATTTACATTTTTTATCGCTGAATAAAATTACATTGTCTGGTTGAATCATAGCCTGTCATTAATTAATGGATACTTGAATGGGCCCCATTTTGGACTATTATGACCATTTCTTTTGACTATATTTACCTAGGCATTGCTGGTAGCTCTAAATTTAATTATTTTAGGAATGACCAGGCTTTTCCAACACATCCACAGCAGTGCTACATTCCTACTAGCAATGTGTAAGAGTCTGAATTTCTCCATATCATCACTAACACTTGTTCTTTTGGGTTTTTTTTTCTATTATAACCATCCTGGTAAATGGGAGGTGATTGATACCTCAATATGGTTTCCATTTGCATTTCTCTGAGATCTAGTGACCTTCATTGAGTTATCTTTTCATGCACTTACTGATTATTTGTATTTCTTCTTTAGAGTGGTATGAAAATTCTTTGCCTGGTCTTCACTGGGCTATTGTGGTTTTATTATTCAATGGTAAGCATTCTCTATGTAATATTGGGTCCCAGTGCCCTGACAGATATATAGTTCGTAAATATTTCCCTCCATCTTTGGAAACACTAGTTTTTAATTTTGATGAAGTCTAATTTATCCATTTTCTTTTGTTTGTGCTTTGGATATTAAGAAGCTATTGCCCAACCAGGGGTCACACAGACACAAGCATATGCTTTTCTAGAGAGAGCTTACTTGACAACCCTATGAGAAAAAGCAACTCTTCATAGACCATGTCACAGGAAATCAAGTGGTTCAATGCAAGAACTGGAATTTAAAGGAGGTCTAATCTCCCTCTGATCCTCATCTTACTGTGCCTTCTCTTGAGTCCTTTTATCAGTGCATCTCTCCCCAAGTTTGCATGGTGTCTGGGCCATGGTAGACCCACATGCTCTGGGTGAGTGACTGGCAGACTCCAATAGGCATGTGGTGCACCCTTGCTAATGAGTTTGCCTCCCTGTGATACCACTATGTTTCAGGTTACTCAGCATCTCTCCCCTCTACCTCTGCAGTGTCTCATCGTTGGGGGAGGACCGTGTGGCCTGCGCACTGCCATTGAACTTGCCTACCTGGGAGCCAAAGTGGTTGTGGTAGAGAAGAGGGACACCTTCTCTCGGAACAATGTGCTACATCTCTGGCCTTTTACCATTCATGACCTGCGGGGCCTGGGTGCCAAGAAGTTCTATGGGAAGTTCTGTGCCGGCTCCATCGACCACATCAGTAAGTGGAGTAGTGGTAGCCCCCTGAAGGTCAAGATCTCACAGTGGGTGGGGCATATCTCCACATCTAGGAGTCCCAGATAGTCCCATGTAAATAGTGTCTTAGACTCCTTACATCTATCCTAACAGACATTAAGTCAAGGCCCTCTATGTCTTGTTCTTAGCCCTATACTATTCCATATTAGGCTGAACACCAGCTGTTCAAGGACTATGACATATCTTAGTTACCAAAATATCTACCACTGGGACATAAAAGAGGGCTTGACACATAGTAGTGGCTCACCTGTTGAATGAATGAACAAAATCATGGGAACCATAGGTAAGCAGCTGAGTACATATTCGGGGGATTCACCAAGATTTTGTCTATGTTTCAGAAGAATGTACCACACTTACTAGAGATATTCAAGGGAGGGAGCTGCACAAAACTATTACAGTGGCCAGATAATAGAGACCTTCTTGTGCTAAGGACTTTGGACATGGTACTCTTGATGCTTGGGAGCAGTGGCAGGGTTCAGAACCGGAGAATGGTATAAATAGATTTATATTCTCTGACAGAGCACAGAGCTCATATAGGGGTTTTTGTTAGAGAAGGTGTCATGATGCACTTCCGTGAGGAAAGGAAGCAGTTACAGAATGTGATTTCCAGACCCTGGGCTACCTCTGACTGCTCACATAGTGTGAGAAGAGTGCCACAGCTCTTCCATTGTGTCATTGCTCCAGCTTGAGTCTCTCAGAGCAAGATCTATGCAGAATGGCTTTGGGGAAAGCAGTACCCCACCTCACAGCCTCACAAAGAGGGGATCCTTAGTCATTTTATTTATAGTAATGGAAGTGAGAGAAGTTAACATGAGAAGAGAGGGCAAGTGTTTGAACTGATGTGGGTCTAAAAAGTCTGTCTCCCTTGTTTCTTTCTGTCTTGTGCCAAATTTCTTAACCTTCCTCAGGCCTCAGTTTTATGTCAAGTAAAATGAGATTAATGCCTGTCTCCTAGAACTGGTGAGAGGATCACACAGGGTCAGGTTTGCAACATGCTTGGTACTCTGCCTGGCACATAGGAGGTACTCAGGAAAGTACTTTACACCCAGTGAGAAAGAAGCAGTGACATCCTTAGAGCTGCATTGTCAACCAGTGCCTTTCTGTAGAACTGGGGTAGAGAAAAGTCCACAGAGCTATGTCCTTGTGAAAATATGAATTGGTGGAGGAAGGGGGCGTGGTTCAGGCAGGAATGCTTGGAGACAATAAGGTGTCATTTTTAATCAGACATGGAAGAATTTACTAGCAGTGGCTCCAGAGCTTATTCCCACTTTGGGATGAGAAAATTCCAGAGTCCAATGGAAAGAAAATTGGTTTGCCTAGAAAGCTGCAGTGTCAGCTTTCAGGATTTTTCTGTCCTACCCATGGAAGAATATGTGTCAATTACCAATGGAAAGTGATGACACTGAGTCCCACTTTGTTGTTAGTCCTCCTGAGAGGCAGTGCTGGCCTCAGAAGGTCTTGTAGGATCCTTCCTGTCCTCATTGATGGGGCTTTCATTTAACCCCTCATCTTTGGAAATATCTCAGCATGTGGAAACTCTGAAAGTGAGATTGGAATATTCAGAATGATCATCACTCCAATCCTATAGTAGAGAGAGATTGGGGGGGACATTTATTGAGCACCTATTGGGCTATGTGCTAAATCCAGAGAGATCAGGAACCTTGACATATGAGGAATGGCCCAGGCTTCCTTGGAAGGATGGCTCATGACCAGAGGGGGACTGGGTTCTGTAAAACCATTCATTGGCTTCTATTCAAACCATTTGGTTTCCAGACCTTATTGTGCTCTTGTGCTTGGCATGGCTTAGTAGTTGTCCTGTGTTAGTGTCCTACTTCCCTGTGCTTTTAAACCTCCACTGCAGCCTGCTGGTTCTTAGCAGATGGTCTCCCTTCTGTGCCATGGGGAAAAGAGGCCACTGGCTTTTGCCATGCCATCCCCCTTTTGTTCCTCTTGCACTCTAGGACCTACTCCTTCCTGGGAGCCCTAGATTAGAGCCTTAGATTAGCTGGCCACCTCCTTCCAACTCTAGTTCCTCCCCAGGCAGCCAGAAGTACTGTTCCTTTCTCTAACTCTCACCCCCAGCCCTCTGTGGGTGCTCCACTACTATTCTGGAAAGTGGAGATATAGATTATGTATACTACCCACTCATACTCCTCATGGCCATCTGACTTCTCACCACTGAAAGAGAAGCCTGCTGTTTCCAAGTGCCCTAGCCTCCTGTAGCTGTCATAGTCCTAAATCTGCCATTGGGATTTGATATTCTTGGTTCATCCTATTTTGCTTTCAGGACCCCAGCTCAGGCTCTATTCTATCATCCTACTGCCAAACCACCATGCCCTGTCCCTTTGTTTTCTCCATTAGAGTGTGTGCTCCCATCTCCAGGTGCCCAGAGGGACACCTGGCATATTGTAGATGCTCAGTAAATGTTAAATGACCCAAGTCTACTCAACACAGAGGGCCTCATGGACAGTTTAAAATTCACTCTGCAGAAAAGTATTTGGAGGGGTGCTCCTTTGTACTGAATGATGGAGGGTTGGGAGGATATAGGGAAATGAGATTCCACTTGTTGGGGAATTTGGAGTAATGGATAGAAGGTAAGACAACCAGGAGCCCAGCTTTGTATGGAAATTTTCCCATGATTGTCCTTACCATTGGGGGATGAAGAGCTTAGATCTTAGATCACGTAGAGACACACTTGATCACTAACTTGTGGCCCTTAACACATGCACTCTCCCCTCTCTCTCCTCTCTCTCCTCTCTCTCCCCTCTCTCTCCTCTCTCTTCTGTCTTCTCTCTCCTCTCTCTCCCCTCTCTCTCCTCTCTCTCCCCTCTCTCCCCTCTCTCTCCTCTCTCTCCTTTCTCTCCTCTCTCTCCTCTTTCCTCTCTCTCTCTTCTCTCTCTTCTCTCTCTTCTCTGTCCCCTCTCTCTCTTCTCTCTCCCCTTTCTCTCCTCTCTCTCCTTTCTCTCCTCTCTCTCCCCTCTCTCCTCTTCCTGCTTCCATCTTTACCTTAGCAAGCCCAGGGCCAGAAAGGAGGAAAGGAAAAACCAGAACCCTTCTCACAATGGCATCATCAAATGACTACAACAGATTTTTTGAATCAGATAAAACTGTGCCCACATTCTAGTAATGTGCAAGATTCCATGAGCAAGTCACATAAGCCTCAGTAATAACTGTGGTCCCCAAGGACCACTGTGTAGGACAAATGAAGAGACACAAAATATTTGCCACAAACCCCAGTGGTATCATTGTTGATATATTGCTGTACCAAGATCCCTGAGCTATGCTCATGCAGCATTCTGAATTATATAAGAGGTGTTCAGATATTGCTATTGATGGCTCAACTCTCTTCATCTCACTTCTTGACAGGTATTCGTCAACTGCAGCTCATCCTATTCAAGGTGGCCCTGATGTTGGGAGTTGAAATCCATGTGAATGTGGAGTTTGTAAAGGTTCTAGAGCCTCCTGAAGATCAAGAAAATCAAAGTACAGTATAATTTATTTTCCTTCTCTGCCTCAAAGTCAGGTATTGCAAGCCAGCCGTTTCATTCATAGGTCACAGAGGCTATGCATGCAAGTGTTGTTTTCATTGGAAGCTGTATGGCATACTGCTATTGGAAGATAGTTTTACCTTCTTTAAGCACTACTATCACTTTACGTTTCCTCTCCAGTTCTGGGTGATTTTGAAACCTGTAAGTTGGTTACCCTGTCTTTGGGAGACTCTACTTTGTCTAATGAAGTCTAATCAATAGCAAGAAAGATGACAGATGTGGTAGTTTGGTAAAGTTCCTTTACATTCACTTCAAATTGTGTCTGAGAGTTCATGCAGAATTATGTGGGTGCTCCTATGGTGCTTAGAAGATATTTTAAGGTCTAGTAAATATCTTATACTTACAAGATATTTTAAAAATCCAGAGCATCCATAAAATAGAACTGGGTACCAGTAACTCACGCCTGTAATCTTAGCTACTTGGGAAACTAACAATAAGAAGATCAAGGTTTAAGATCACCCCAGACAGAAAAGTCCATGAGACTCCACATCCAAAAAGGGAAACTGAACATAGTAGGGCTTTCCTGTGACCCCCATCAACTGTAGGAAGCGCAAACTAAGCAGATTCTGACTCAGGCATACACTCAGACTGGAAGCAAGACCATATCTCCAAAAAAGAACTGGTGGAATATGAAACTGGAGGTGTATCTCACTATTAGCACATTAAGCCTACTAAGCAAGAAAGTTCAAATTGCAGTGCTACCTAAATAAAGTGTCAAGATGTTGTTGAGGTAAGGACTAGTTATAACTCGGTGGTAGTAGTTATTTAGCATGTATAAAGCCCTGAGTTTGACCTCTAGCACCATAAAATAAATAAGATATATTTTGGTATGTAACGTTTTTAACTTTATGGAGGTTTACTTTATAAGCCATGAAATGCACCTTTATAGATATGTCCTATCATGTTTCTGTTTCTCCTTTTTTTAATGTTTGAGTTCTGATCATCTTACGCATTACCAAAGTCTTTTCTAGCATTGGAAAGGCTGGGTTTTGAGTTTATTGTCAAAAATCTTGTAGTTACCTACAGAAGGTACACCTCTGACTTCTTCTGTGTCCTGCCAAAACATTTGAGAATTTAGAGGGCTTTCATTATTTGTGTAGCAGGACAGCATTATTATTTGGTATTCAGAGACTATGACCTTCAAACTATCTCCACACCTCTCCTGGACACTCAGTCCTCTGCTGTGCTTCACCAGAAAATGTGTTTAGAGGCAAAATGCTGCCCAATGAAACATTTTGAGCAAAAGTAGAAATTTAAGCTGGTTCTGTGACAGCCTGCCCATTCATTTTGTTTGAGTTCTTTGGCAATACCAGAGCCATTGAGAAAAAAATATGGGGGAATTGGAAGAGAGAAGAAAAGGTCAGCAAAACCAGGCATAGAACCGATGTTGCTGGTTTGGTTTGTTCTGAATTGAACTAATATCAAAATTTGAGGGAGCAAGAATCTCTAGTCCTTTTCTCCAGAGGCTGTTCTTGGGGTACATCACACATTTCTTCTGGCCAATATATAGGAATGATATCACTTTTTCAATCACCTCTTCCTGTCAGCTCAACTCATCTTTTTTATCTTGGTAGAAATTGGCTGGCGGGCAGAATTCCTCCCTATGGACCATGCCCTTTCTGAATTTGAATTTGATGTCATCATTGGTGCAGATGGCCGCAGGAACACCTTGGAAGGTAAGAACTCTTTGAGGGGCTAGGAAAGGAACATTGGAGATGGATGGACAAGATAAAGATGCCAAAACTAGACTGGAAGAGAGTCTCACAGAAGGGCAGGGTAATTCTCCCAGGGCAAAGGAAAGGACTAGCATGCAAAAATGCTTCAAAGAGGTACACTGTCATGGGAAAAGTCAACATACATTTGTGGAGAACCTGCCAATGTACGAGCCAGGGCACCAAGCGTTTCCAGAGTCACTTCATCCAAGATAAACATTTCATGCTATTAATGACATTTGTTCACGTTTAAAATATACTACTAAATGAAGGAGGTGGCCCATTCTTCATAAGTCTCAAGCATACTCACTGCTGGGAAGTTAGACAAGTCCTGCCAGCCTGGCAGGGTATAGAACCGCATTTCTCTAGGTCCTAAAGCTGGAAGCATATGTGCTTCTTGGAGTGAGATTCACTTAAGGTAAGAGAGAACTCCATTACTAGCACTTACCTTGGCCTTCCCCCCAGATAACCTTAATTTATATAAATGGTACTATCAGACCATGAATGAAGCCATGGTCCCCAGTGGCATGTCTTAAATGAGGAACAGTTCTGCCATCTTGCCTTGCCCTCATTATGAATAACAGGCTACAGATATCGATCTGGGAAGGCATGTTCTCTGGGGTTGAGGCATTCTTTACAAAGCTGGTCTCAGAAAATTCAAGATATGTATGGCCCTCTACCTCAGGCCCTTCCCATCTGCTATACAGTTCCTTTTGCCATTCTCCGCTTCCATACCCTCCTCCCTACAATCCTATCCAAGTGTACTGGAGGAATTTATGGCACATTTTTGTGTCTTACTAAAATTATGATTCTGAATATTTGAAAATCCAGGATCCATATTCAGCTTGAATATAGTTTAGCATTTCTTGAGCATGGAAAGAAAGATGAAAAGGATAGAACCATCTGAGCAACTTAGCCCAAAATGGTTAGACTAGGGCAGGCTTTCCCAATATTGATTATATTCTTTGTCATGGGGCTCTCATTCTTTGCCCAAGGATGTTTAATGGAATTGATGGTCTCACCCAGTAGATTATGGTAGCATACCCTCTACACCCAATTCCTGCATCCATTCTACCATTTATAATAACTAGAAATGTCCCCATACACTACCTGGGAGGCAAAGTCACTCCAGGCGAGAAATACTAACCTGAAGACTAGTAATGACCATTTCTGATATTTTGACAAAAGTCTAATGATGGGCAGCTTAAAGAAGTATTGAATAATGACCCAGGGCTCCTATTAAAGGCATTTTGGATAGAGAGGATCCCCTCATACTCAAAGAGTCAGCATGAGGCTGGAGTAGGTAGTGAATAAATGTGTGGGAAACTCCCAAAGGTGACTGGAGGGAAAGTTTATGTCCAGCATGTCTGTACATGTAAGACTAAGATCTTACTCTGTTTTCTGCTGCTGTAACAGGACAACTGAAGCTAGATAGTTTATTAAGAGCACAGGTTTGTTTAGTTCATAGTACTTGGAAGTCTTAAGAGCATGGCACTAACACCTGGTGAGAGTCTCCTTGCTACATCTAACATGGTGAGGGCATTACGTGCCAAGGAAGCAGGCTTGGCAGAGAGTACTGTCTCTTACAACAAAGCTACTCCCAATATCACCAGTTAACTCATTAAACCAAGAATGAATTAAGCCATTCTTAAGGGCAGAAAATTTATGACCCAATCACTTCCCAAAGGCCATATCTCCAATACTACCAATATATGAATTTGGAAGCCAGGCACTGGTGGCTCCTAGCTATTCAAGAGTCTGAGATCTAAGGATCATAGCTCACAGCCATCCCAGGCAGGAAAGTCCATGAGATTCTTATCTCTAATTAACTGCCAAAAATAGAAAAGTGGAGTTATGGCTTGAATGGTAGAGTACCAGCCTGAGCAAAACAGCAGGCAAACTCTGAGTTCAAGCCTCAGTATCAGCACACACACACAAAAATGAATTTTTGGATTTAGTTGCCAACAAATAAATAATATAGTCAAACTTTAGCAACAGGTGGTTGGCTTCAAATAAATAAATGGCATGACAAGATTCAGGATGACAAGAAAAAGCAGAAGCTTTAAAAAAAAACAATGTGTGTGTGTGTAAGTGTTTGTGTAATCAGGCTGGAGGCATGGCTCAAGTAGAGTGCCAGCCATGATTAAGAAATATGACAACCTGCTGTGATCCTATGTCACCACCACTCAAAAGAAATTATCATGTAAATAGTGGAAAACTGAGAGCCCTGAGGATAGGCTCTGATATCCTATTGCACAATAGTATGGCCATAATATAATATGCATTTCAAAATACTAAAAGAAGAGACTTGAATGTCTCACCATAAAGAGACGATGAATGAATTTTTGAACTGATGATATGCTAATTATCCTTATTTGATCATTGTTTAATATATACCTGTATATATTAAATTGTAAATATGTGAAAAAATTACCATGGATTGATTTAAAGGAGAAATATATAATAAGTGTCAGTCACTGGGAATTGCTGTGTTGGTTTCTTAGACTTCCCTAAAAACTGCCAGAACTGAGTGGCTTGAACAACAGAAATTTCCTACCTTGTAATTCTAGAGGCTGTAAGTCCAAGATCAAGACCTCCTCAGGATTAGTTCTTTCTGTGGAATCTGTTCCATGCTTCTCTCTTAGCTTGTAACCAGACTCCTAAGCCAGTGGTCCATCTCTGGGTTCCAACATATCAGGTCCAGCCAATCCCTTCAATATTTTAATTACAGTTGTGTAGTGGGGAAGATTGAAGAAAAGATAATTATTATATGGTTCAGTCATGTCATGGGAAGAGGCAAAGTAAGGAATTCATCTCCTCTTCATTGTACAGAAATGAGCTTTAGCTTTAAATAAGGGGAAGAATTGGGGCAGTCAGAGAGAGGTGTGCAAAAACAGTCCCTGGCAGATTCTGGTTCTGTGAGGGGTTCCAGAGTTGTTATTGCTGTCATCCCTTGAAGGGAGCCATCTGGTTCCCATGAGACAATCACTCATGCAGCCTGGTCATTATAGGTAATTGGGGGGGGAATGGTCTGGCCGGGGAGGCTCTGCTGTTGCTTGGGAGTAGTTTTAGTTGTTTGCCATAAACATGTTATCTAATAATCCTGTCACCCTCAGAATCTGGGTGATTTTAGGAGAGACTCCAAGAATAAGGAGACAGGTGTAGAATAGAGGCAGGGATGCCAATCTTTTATCTCATTTTTAGTTCACTTGTGGGCCCCAGTAAAGAGTCAGTGTTTTTCAGCCAAAGCAATGTGGAAGTAACAGTTCTAATTTTGCTGTTTGCTGCAATCTTTGGTCTCCTTAGCTTATAGAAGCATCACCCTCATTTCTGCTTTTACCTTTACCCGTGCATCTGTGCCCACTTTTCCCATCAGTTATATTAAAGTAGAGTAGGACTCCAAACTACTCCCAGGTAAACTTATCTGTGTCAACCCTGTTTTTTTTGGCCAGTCATGGGGCTTGAACTCTGGGCCCGGGTACTGTTATTCAGCTCTTCAGTTCAGGCTAACACTCTACCACTTAAGCCACAGTGCCACCTCTGGTTTTCTGGTGGTTTATTGGAGTTAAGAGTCTCATGGACTTTGCTGCCTGGGCTGGCTTTGAATCATGATCCTCAGATCTCAACCTCCTGGGTAGCTAGGATTACAGGTGTAAGCCACCAGTGATCAGCTAACCCTTTTTTCAAATAAGGTCACATACTGAGGTAGGAGAATGTGAATCTGGGGATGGGGAGACACAGTACAGCCCATTAAAAATGGAGCCATAAAGACAGTCTCTTAAAATCACCATCTTGTAGAAATCAATCTAATACTAATTTTCAAAAGAAAAAAAAGAGCCAAGAAAAGTGCTGGCAAAGTCATTTGAACCATGAAAGTTCCCAGTGCCTGTGGGGCTCATAAGCAGGAGCAGTAAAATGCCTGCCATCTCCATGGAAGGGCACTCTGATCTCTCACTAGAGGAGCTTACTCTATTTGCCAAAGCTTCAACAAGGTATTTGTCCTACATGTTAGGACATCTCAAAGCCTCTGTGACAAGCATGCTTGAGGAGAACAAACCCAGACTCTCTGCCTATATTTTTCCTCTGGCCTTCAGAGCACTGACAGTGTTTTCAGTGTTTGCACCAAATCCAAAGGATTGACCCAGTTGTCCTTTGCCTCACTCAGGATTCCGAAGGAAAGAATTCCGAGGGAAGCTGGCTATTGCCATCACCGCCAACTTCATCAACAGGAACAGCACAGCTGAGGCAAAGGTAGAAGAGATCAGTGGTGTGGCCTTCATCTTCAACCAGAAATTCTTCCAGGACCTAAAAGAAGAAACAGGTGAGACTCTCACCTGTCTCCAAACCAGACCATTATGTCAGAGTTCCCTGACATAATCTTCTGGATGTTGTATGTTGAAATAGATAAGAGACATTTACTAGTAGATAGCAGACATCTATGGAATGCCCATCATCTGCCAATGCTCAGTATATAGAGGTATAAAGTTAAAGTTGATACTATTCCTTCCTAAAGTAGCTCCCTGTCTAGAGCAGGACACCCACATAAAGCCCCCTAATTTAGGGTTGACAGCTGTGCCTGAGGTCAGTGTAAGCTGGAGAAGCTCTGAGGATAGAGCCAGTGACCCTGTGGGTAGTGCCTGAAGCCCAGGTACTTCCATGCAGCAAGCATCTCTTTTGCCCTGGGGGAGGGGCATAAGAGGATCAGGGATACTTCCTGACTGGCATTTGTCACCCAGACATCAGCCTAGAGGTTAGATGTACTGATTCATGCACTCAAAAGATAGATTGATGCCTGCTACATGCTGAATGTTGTCCAGGGCTTGAAGTAGACCAATGAAGGAGATTAGATCCCCCCTCTCTTTCTCTTTCTCTTCTCTTTCTCCTTCCCTTTCTCCTTCCCTCTGTCCCTCCTTGCTGGCTTGCTAGCTTTGTATTTTTGAAGGAGTAAAATAAAGGGAAAAAAAAGAAAAACTCAAAAGGCTATTTTGTAATAAAAATAATACGATATTTCAATGCCCATAAATAAAGATTAGCTATAACACATCCATGGCTGTTGCTGATTACACTATGTGTATAATAGAAACCATATGGACCACAAAGCCAAAAATGTTAGATTTGTCCTTCCCTCCAAACTCTGGACTGTGATTTAGACCTTTCATTAATTGACTATTATAGATATAACTATTTCTGTGGCCTCATATCTTCAAGCTCATTTTCTAGGAATGAGTTTAGGCGATGAGTCAGACACAGTGATGTGTGTCCATCTCATAACCCTCTGAGTGTCTCCACAGTTGCACTATTTTATGAAGAGTTATTATTAAGAGTTATTATGAAGTTACTATTTTATGAAGAGTTTTATTTCCTTCCAGTATATTTTGTCCTCTTGAATGATTTATGAATGCTTCAACCCTCCCTTCCTCTCAAAAGTCAGGCAAATAAATCTTTGAACAACCGAATATGAATTACAGGGCATTGAGCATGTTTTTCTAAATGTTTCAATGAGCTTCCTTTAAACTTGGCTGTGGTTGTCACCTTTGGCCGTTGCTTCACAGCAGTGTCCTCATGCAGTAAAAGCATGAATTTCCTGATTCTCTGGGGGGCCCTTGGCATTGATGGCTGTTTCCTATTTAACTGTAATAAAGGTGTTGCTATAGTTACCCAGCATGCCTCCTATGGTAGCAGATGGATCACTATGTATTTGTTCCTTTCTTTCCCTGTAAATAAGCTGATTCTCGAACTCTGCATCAGCATAACGAGAGATCTTGCTAAAAATATGGGATACTCGCCCAATCCCTAGAGTTTCTAACTTAGCAGATTGAGAATGGAGCCCTGATAATTTACTTTTTTACTTCTTTTTTGGTGCAAGTACTGGGGTTATAACAAAAGGCCTTAGACTTTTATTTGGGTTTTTAGCTTAAGGCTGGTGCTCCACCACTTGATCCACAGTTCCACTTCCGGCTTTTCTGGTAGTTAATTGGAAATAAGAGTCTCACAAACTTTCCTGCCTGGACTGACTTTTAACTAGGATCCTCAAATCTCAGCTTCCTAAGTAGCTAGGATTACAGGTATAAGCTATCTGGCAGTCAGATAATATGCTTTTTTTGCTAAATTCTTGGATTATACCTACCTATGTTGCTGGCCTTGGACCACTACCACCCCATTCCTCTTTTCAGAACAGAGACCCAAGCTCTCATTTTAAAGCATGGTTTTAAATGTAGAAACATAGTGTTAAAATGTTTTGTAGTTGGATAGGCACAATGGCACATACCTATAATCGCAGTAGTTGCAAGGCTGAGACAGGAGGATCATAGCTCAAGACCAAGACCCTGTCTCAAAACAGAAATGAAAGCAAAACCAAAAAAATAAAGTGTTGGTAGAAAGCACACACACAAAAAATAACAACTCAGGCCTCTGACTTGAATTGCTCCTACTACTCTACCTGGGTTTTCATGTGTAATTTCATTAATACTTAAAAAAAAATCTTGGAGAATTTCCACAGCTCTATGCATCTCTGCCACATGGAACTTACAGGGGGATGGGACGTGAAACCATCCAGGGTTGAGCTCACATCCTGGCTGTGTCATCTCTTAGCTTCCATGGTAACGGCCATGGCCATGTAGAGCAATGGGCCTTTCTGCAACACTTGTTGCACCTCTAATTTAGGAATACTGGTCTACAATGCCCATGGCTGTTATGACTCTCACAATATCTTTGTGAAACTATAACTAGCTTCTCTGACTTGGGTAACATCTGGCCCTCTGTTCTGTCTTTCTTGGCCTTGTATGTCTTAAACACTTGTCTCACATGAATATTCTGTACCTAAATAATGAGATCTATGTTATGGTAAAGTATAGTGCCCAGCATGCAATGCGTGCTAAGGAAATAAATCCCTCATCTGAACACTTCTCTTTTCAGGGATCGACCTCGAGAACATTGTTTACTACAAGGACTGCACCCATTACTTTGTCATGACAGCCAAGAAGCAGAGCTTGCTCGACAAAGGTGTCATCATTAATGTATGTACCTCTTTCCCTTTATGACCAGAGCTGGCAGCATTAGCAGATGTGGGAGAAAACACTGCCTTGCCAGAAACTGAGCAAGTGGAGGAGGGGCAGGGGCCAATCACCCACGCCCTTCCTTGCTCTTGGTATTGCATAAGATCTGGATAATGAAGCCCACACATGTAGAGATGTTCCTGCAGAGGTATATAATGATGTAAAACTTCTATCCAGGTACAGCTAAGTTTTATTCTCCCCTTCTTCTTGAGACAGATAGTGGCTCCTGGTCCTGAGGGAACATGGAGCTGCTTTTCCTAATGAATTTTATGACCTTGTCATAGGGGAAATCTCATGGTAGACTTTTTTTGTGTGTGTGAAAATACCATATAAAGGGGTTATAATTACATGGGCAAGATAATGAGTACATTTCTTATCAAGCATTGTTGCCTCCTCCTTTGTTTCCCCTTCCCAACCCTTCCCGTCTTCCCCTGTCTCCCCCCACCCCGCACCAAAGTTGTAAAGTTTGTTTTTCGACATAAGGACTTGTACATCTCATAGTTGCAATGGGTTCACCTGTATCCCTATTTAAACGATTTGTTTTTTCCCTTCCCCTCCACAAATTATACCAACAT